AGATCAGTGTTCTGTGAGCGTCAGCTCCAACGCCTCCAATTTGCACATATATTGCTTTGCAAATTCCAATTCTAATATATGTCCCTTATCATCAAAAGGAAATCTAAAACTGTCCCCACAAAAATAAAATTCTAAAATGCTAGTGCACGCTGCAGGGAACCTCCGCTCCAGCTTTTGCAGTACTCCGGAGAGGATAGCCATCTAACACGCTTTCTTCCCTCCGTCTAAGTAAAGGCCACTAGCTAGGCGCCTAGGCGTCACGGGAGGCGTAGATAATATTCTGTAGGAAAAAAAGTATACTAGTTTCATTTTTTTTTTGATTTAAAATAAATTAGCTATGATTTTTTAGATATGAAACTAGTTTCTTTGTATTACTTTTACGATTAGCCACTGATCCTGTATGTGCATATACCATCTTCCTCCTCTTCTTCTTTGCACTGAAGTTTAATATCTTCTTCCAGATCAAGGCCAGAACAACTGCGTAGACAAATTTTCCAAGGTCAAGAGACACGTCGCTGACCAATCTAATTCGGCCCCTCTAGCCTAGCTTTACGAATAGTCTTCGCGAGTCCCTCTCACATGTCACACATATAAATGCATGAGCATTAACGATTAATTGCATGTAAGTACTTACTGTATGTAGTAGCAAAGCAATACTCCGTAATAATCTAATACAAGTTGCAGCGCAGTCTCTCTCCCCACACGCACACGTATACCGCACTAGCGTATAGTATATCATATCATATCCAACTCATTATTAAGCAAGAGAAAGCAACCAGTTTCCAGGCCGTGAATTTTCTGGACGTGTTGCTCTACTAGTTAGTCGCCGACACTTTTCCATGCTTGAATAATTAGTACTCGACGACGACGCGGAGGTTGGCGGTGACGCATGGAGCTCATTGGTGCAGCAGCGGCGACGCCATCCAGCGATTCTCCATCGCCTGCTTGTGGCCTAGGCTCGCGTCCATAGGTGCAGCCCCGTTGCTCCTACTCTAGCGCCGCTACTCGCTCGACCGTAGTCGTCCAGCGTTGTCTGCTCGCAGGGGACGAGGCGCGGCACAACTAGCGATAGGGTGCGGTGCGGTGGGGAAGGGCACGGAGTGACGCCGTGACGGGGGATGGGGCGCGGTGGGGGAAGGGGGCGCAACGGGGCGGAGGGATGAGCGGTCCAGAAATGCTCAGCCATGCCATGACGGGCAGATGAGTGAAGTAGATAATTTTTTTTTTGAGAGGCCGGTCCGCTGCACAGGAGGCAGGACTGGGAGCCGCGGCCGACGGGACGGACGCCCGTTGCTGAGCGTTTCCGAATAGATGAAGAGAAAGATTAAAGAAAGTTTGATGGGACGAAATGAGTTTTATGAGAATAAAACCTATCTACTATGTTTCTAACATATGAATACTTGGAACTAACATATGAATACTTGAAAACTGAGATATAGAATCTTGCACTGAGACTGGCATACGAAGGAAAGGTTTGGTAGTACAAAGGGCAAGGAAATACTGAGTCGAAGTCCAAAGTTTTAATTAGATAGCACTAGCTAGACACAGAAAAAGGATTAGAGTGGTACATGTGAAAGCATATGTCCCTTTTTTGACGCCCTCAAAAGAAACGAAGTGGGGAAAAGCAAGCTTTGCTTAGTCAGGCCGGCATTATGCGCGAGAAAGATAATATAATTCATGTCACATCCATCAACTAGCACCAAAAAAGGTGATCTTTCTGCTGCTGTTAGCACTTTTTGTGCAACACTAGACTACCATCTGGCATGATACGCAGCTGAAAGGCCTCAATATTTTTTTAAGGATTTGCTAAAATTCAAGTACCTAAATTTTAGTTTCCTTTCAAGCATGGAAACTAAAATTCAAGTACCTAATCAAGGCCGCCGGTCGGCAGATCGGTTGCGTGCGTTGAAACTTATGGCTTGTTTTTTTTTTAACTTTTGGGGGCTTGGTACGTATTTCATTGGCTCCTATCCATATCAAAGCAATAACAGATATTTTCGTGTCATTCTTCTTAGGTGAAGCGTAAATAAAACATAACAATTCGTGCAAATATCAATCCTTTTATTTCAGGGCATGCATGTAGTGTTGTTTTCAAATGATCGATGTTTTCTTTTGTGCATGCTTACCAGCCGATTCTAATTCAAACTTAATAAGAGTATAAAGATTTTTAACTAGAGGTTCATCAAACTCCACATCGATAATAGAAGTTCAGCTTTCAGACTTATATGAAAACGTGTTTGCTTTATTTTCAAGTATCAACTCAATAGTTGCCGGTGTTTGTTTATCAACAATGCAACTCCCTGTACAATTTTAATTACTGAAGCTTTGGAGCTTACAAGTCCAAGCTTTGATCAAACTTAAATCCCTAAACTCAAAATTTGAACTTCAACTTGCAACTTCATATTCATTGGTACGGTGTAGTGCTGATCGAAGAAGAATGTTCATCACTTCAATAGATAAGTAGTGAACTTTGTTAGATAAAAAAATGCCATAGAATATATGAAGAAAATGAACTTAACCATGCATGTACTCTTGTACACATGTCGTAGTTTCAACTAAAACTAGTAGATAAACTACCAAACCATCACTTACACGTACAATCCCGAGATGCTAAGCACATACAATGCAACAAAAAAGCTACTTCCTCCATCCCAAATTGTAAGTCATTCCAAGAATCTTGGAGAGTCAAACTTTTTCAAGTTTGACTAAAATTATAGAGAGAAACACAAAGATTGATGACATCAAATAGGTATAATATGAAAATATAACTAATAAAGAATCTAATGATACTTACTTTGTATGATAAATATTATTATTTTGTTATATAAATTTGGTCAAACTTGAAAAACTTTGACTCTCCAAGATTCTTTGAATGACTTACAATTTGGGATGGAGGGAGTAGATGCCATGCATGGTTCCCAGAAAATAAAATAAAAAGACCAATATCATCACGCACTACGCAGCACACAGGTACGCGTACTGCTGAAGTTGTGCATATATTATGAACAAATACTAGTGATTATTAGTTCATACATTCAAGAACAACGCGAAAAGCTAAATCAGAGAAGCTATCGCCAGGAACATGAAATATTAATCCATCACAGCAAGAATTAAGTATGAATAATGTATGAAAAACCTCATGTTTCCCTTGCCCGCTCATCCCATACAGCTCCCTCAACTTATTTCATGTGAGAAAAGGCAAAATTTACCAAAGGTTTCACCATAAATTCAAACATATACCCAACACAGAACTGATGAATCAGGAGGGGATACACTCCTGGCTTCACCACTTATTGACAACAAAGTCTGATCAGTGTTATAGCTCGAAAACTGAAAGACAAAGTGAAAGCCAAGGCTAACTTTGACAGCTAATAAGCTACGCCCTATTCGTTTGGCTTATAAACCGTACTTTTTCAGCCAACGAACAGTATTTTTCTCTCACAACAAATCAGCCAACAGTACTTTCAGCCATGACTTATCAGTCAAACGAACAGGGCAACAAAATAGCATTTGTCCAGCCTCTCTTATTTGTTCCATCTCATGGTCAACTTCTGCAAAATAGAAAATGTAGTATAAGTACTAGTAGAAACAAGCTTGTAGCTATATCAGCATATGTAATAAGAGCTAGAGCAGAAACATGTTCCATGCACCTGATAAAGGAAAAATAAAGAAAGTGGAGTAAAATATTGTGCAATTAAGGAACTTGGTGGGCAAGAAATTGTGTATATCAATCAAGAAATCTGAGTTGTCGGCAGCAGTCACAGCTAGCTACTGTACAAGGCGAGGCCTGATCGATGACTGGTGTTAAATAAAGCTTTTTCGAGAACGCTGTTAAATAAAGCTTATACCTCGTATAGGCTCTAGCCCATAGCATTAGCGGCACATATTACAGTTGCTAGAAACTCCAGTTCTAACAAGAAATTACATAACAAATGGCAGAGATGAGATTCTTAGGACCATTTAATTTGTGGTATTGTAACAAAAACACTCCTATCCTTATTTCCTCGCAGAATTTCCAAAAAGAACTTATTTCCTCGCATGTATGGAGAGAGAGAGAGAGAGAGAGAGAGAGAGAGGAGATAGAGGGAGGGGAGATAGAGGGATTGACATCGTGTAGATGGATTCATGGGGAGAAAGAAATCCACAACTGATGTTTCAGAAAAAAGAAATCTACATATAAATAAACAACATGTGTTTAGAGAGTAGGACGACTGATGAGTGCTCAGTTAAAATTGACGACTGTACAAATGCTGCGAGAAGAAGACCAACAGGAGGAGGTGCAGAAGGGAGAGGTAGAAGGAGAAGGAGAACGAACAGAAGGACAAAGAGGGAGAAGGAGCTGAGCATAAGAGCGGAGGAGATGAACAACTACAGCCGCAACTAGCTGGAGAGGAGAAATTAAAGCACAACTAGAGGAAGGAAGGAGGGGAGGCAGAAAGGGAGCAGGGGGGCCGTTAGAAGGAAGGAGTAAGAGTGAAGGACAAGAACCTGTTGATACGAACAGCAGCAGCAACACAAGAAGAAGCAAAGCAGATGAAGAAGTAGTAGGATCAGGTAGAAGGAGCGCAAGAGGCGGTGGAGGCCAAGATCGAGCAACAACGGCAACAACTAAGGAAAGAACCAGGTGAAGAAGGAATGAAGGATATATAAGGGAGGAGGAGGAGGACATGAACAAAAGCAGATGCAAACGGAAAGCACAGACACGTGAAGGAGAAAGAAGCAGGAGGAGAGAGGTCAAGAACAAGTAGAAGGTTGGAAGTGGAGGGAGAAGGAGCATAAGAGGAGGACTACATGAACTAACAGCTAGCGAAGAAGGCACAACCGGCTAGCGAAGAAGGAGAAGGAGCACACACAGCTCGCGGCTGGTGGAGGACCAGGAGGAGGTGCAAGAGAGAGAAGTACACGGACCGATACAGGAGGAGGACTAGACGAGATACGCAACCACCAGAGGAAGATACAATCAAGGAACATGTGTGGATCTACTAACCTCAAGTCCTCAATCAAGCTATCGCACCAAGGATGTCGAAGAACAATTCCGGAACGGCCATGGCCATCAGAAACAAATAGGCAAAGAGGATCATCCATCCTGCTGCACGGCGGCGGGCGGGGTCTCCAGCCACCCATCCTGCCGCCCACATGGTGCTCAGCCCAACGATGAGAAACACCACGAGTGTTCCGAGGTAGGCTGGTGGGTAAGCGAGCACGCTCACCGCCGGCCGGGAGCCGGCAGCGATGGCCGCCATGAAGCCCGTCAGGAAGCCAACCTCTAGCAGCACTTGCACGACGTCGTCGCGGGCCCGAAAAATAAGGCGCACGGCTGCGTCGACCGCCGCAGCGTTGTTCCTGACGTTGCGGTTCGCCATGGCGCGCTGCGGAGCTAGTCCTGCACCAGTCGGCAGAAGGACAGAAAGAAGCGCAGCTCAGTTCAGATCAGCTCTTGCGAGGGCGCTGGGGTTCAGGAGATTTGAGACCATGGACCGAGGTTTTAAATCTCTGGCTATAACCTCCACTATCTCTGGTTATAGCTGTTTAAAAAAAATTTAGCTAAGTTTTTCTATGTACAAGTTAACCCTTAGCTATCGCTATAGTCTATTATAATTAGCTATAGTATATTTTCGAACCTAGAAAGCTAAATGCCTTAACCGGCTATTTAAAATCTTGCGATGGACCCATGTGGGGGAGTAGTGTACATCGGGAGCAGTGCACATCGGTCCATCGTCTTGTTCAGGTGGAGTAGTTCATATCGGTCCATCGTCTTGACTAGACTAACAGTGTGTGCTCCACCATCACTTGTTTAGCCGCGTTTACTTCATCAGCCGATTCGGCGCCGCCCAAAAAAAAGGTGTACTGTAGCTACAGTATTATTTTGTTTTTATTTTGTAATAATTGTCTCATCGTTAACTAGTTAGGCTCAAAACGTTCGTCTCGCAGAGTACAACCAAACTATGTAATTAGTTTTTGATTTCATCAACATTTAGTACTCCATACATATACCGTAAGTTTAATGTGACGGAGAATGTTTTTTTGCATAGTGTCAAATTCTGGAAATGGGAGTAACTAAACATGGCCTTATTAGCCCTACACCTGCTCCTGGCTGGTGGCGTAGCGGAGTGGAGTAGCGCTTGGTCAGGCGACGTGTCCAGGCCCCTGATCTCGGAATATTCGCGTGCGCAGTTGTGGGCCCGCAGCTCCACGTACAGGAAAAGTGACCAAAAGGCCAAATCGTGGTTGTTACCTAATGAGTACGGAAGAGATGGGAGCGGCCGAGCGGGGAGTATCGCCGCATGTCGTTTCGTTTTTTAAGGAAAAAAATCTGCACAACTCACCAGTCTACGACCACTACTTGAGATCATAAAGGATTCATGTAGCGCAGATGATTCAAACTACGGTGTATATGTATCTGTCCGGACGAAGATGGAAGATCGATTATTAAGTCGATTTATTATATCGTCTGGAAGATGTAGCGCAAGGATTCATGTTGGCAGTGAAACAATGCTCTATGCTTTGGCTTACCGCAAAGTATTTAGTATTGCAACATTGGTCTTTGTCTGGACATAGGACCGTAGCAAAAGAGCAAACAGATAGGCAATTTACATGAAGCAGTCATTTCTTGAAGACCAATCACGGTAGATGTTTACTTGTTGTTAGAGTATGTCCAAATGACTACATAGATAAAATGCTTTCTGCATTGCCACACGTATAGGAAGGCAAGGGTGTAGTAGATACTGAAGCCATACAATAGTTATAGATGTGGCAGCTTTTGCTATGAAAGTAGGCATTTTCATATTTAATTTAATCCAGAAATATAGTAGTAAATTCGTGACAACAAACATGCGCATGTGTAAACTATCGGTCGCAACTATGATGAACATACTAATCATGTTTAATAGCACAAAAATATTTCTGAATATAGAAACAGTAAGATTAGAAATACACCCAGTGAAGGGACCTATGCTCGAGGCACCGATGGACCACAGTCAATGCAGGACGATGTTCGCAGTGCAGTTTCTCGAACGTCCACCATGAAGTAGACGGAGTCGTCGATCGGATCAGCAGTGAGCAGCCGCGTTAGACGCTCCCTAAAAACTTGATCGCGCAGCACCCCGAGTAGGTTTCACAGATGTAGACGTGGTTCCGTAGGCATGCTCTCCCAACGTATGTGCGTATAGAAGTTGGGACGGGGAAACTGGAAAGCAACAGCAATAGAAGAACGATGGTGCTTTTTTATATTTTCACGCACGAGACTAATGACAAGCATCTTTCTTATAGCTCTAGCTTCTTCATCGACACTAGCTTCTTCACATTCGATGAAAACCCAGTCGGGACTTTGACCCCCCTCAGGAAAGTATATATAGCTCTCTTATCTTCTGGTGTTAGGTTGAAGCACGCCTCGGGCAGAGTGTATTTTCCATTAGCCTCAGGTACCGGGTGAAGCTGTGGCATCACGTTTAGCTGCACCATGTCTTTCCGTGATTTCAGACCATCCTTTGACTTGCCTGAGTCCATCAAGGTAGCAATGAGACTCTCAAAGACATTCTTCTGCACGTGCATAGCATCAATGGTATGGGGGACCTCCAAGTCTGGCCAATAAGGCAGATACTGAAAGAAGATTGATTGTTTCTTGAAAGGTACGCCTTCGACATGAGGTGTGCTTCTATCTCTGTTCGTCCCATCCGGATTCTTTCCATAGACGACGCATATGTTTTTCACCATTTTGTACACGTATTCTCCATTATGACGTCTCTCCGAAGGGGGTTCAATCTCTGAGGTGTTGTCATAAAATCGAAAGAATAATTTGCTGCGGTACTTGTGACTTGTCTTTAAGAAGCGCTAGTTCCTTAGGTAAACTATCTTCTTGGATGCATCCAGAAACACCCATGTAGTACCATCCAAGCAAACTAAGCATCCCATCTTTCCTTTGATCTGTTCAGACAAAGCAAAAAACGCGGGGTAATCATTAGTAGTAACAAATATTATTGCTCTACATATGAAGTCCTTCTTTCGGATCGCATCGTACATCGGCTCCCCATGCCTCCATAGCCTCTCCATTTCTTGCATCAAAGGCTCAAGGAACACGTCTATATCAATGCCTGGTTGTTTAGGGCCAGAAATAAGAATAGTGAGAAGAAGATGCATTCTCTTCTGACACAACCACGTTGGGATATTGTATATGATCAAGATCACTGGCCAAGTGTTGTGGTCGCTCATCCTCTCATTGAAGGGATTCATTCCATCGGTGCTCAAGCCAAACCGTACATTCCTTGGGTCATCGCTAAATTTTTTGTGCTTCTCATCGATCCTTTGCCACTGACTACAATCAGCCGGGTGTGTAATCTTATCATCATCTACCTTGCGCTCATCATCCCACCATGTCATGAGTGCGACTTCTTTAGGGTTTAGGAAGATACGTCTCAAGCGGTCGGTCACTGACAGATACCACATTACCAAGGCAGGAATTCTTCTCTACTTTGCATCATTGCCTAATGTAGTGTCCTCTGGGGACTGAGATTCTTGTACCACCTTTTTCATACCCTTCTTATTCTTCTTTTTCCCCGTGGAGGCTTCATCCCCACCGTAAAGGTCATTGTTCTTGTACTGGCTGACCCCACACCAGGGACATTTATCCAGTGACTTGAACGTTTCGTCACGAAAAAGGATACAGTGGTTGGGGCATGCATGGATTTTTTTAACCCCCATTGTCAATGGACTTATGACCTTCTTCGCTTGGTATGTGTTGACGGGAACTGAGTTTGGTTGTGGCAGCACCCATAACAGGAGACGCAATAGATCATTAAAACTACAGTCTGACCAGCCATACTTAGCCTTCAGGATGAGTAGCTCAAGCACAAAACGTAGCAATGTCCAATGTGTTGGACAGCCCTTTTCAACATCATACACAGTCTCCTTCGATGCTTTTGTCACCCTTTTCAAATTTTCTAGACCTTTCGGGCTATTTAGTAAAATCTCTGGTCTAAGGGCTCGAATCATGTCCTCCAAATCATCTTCATCCCCGACACGTGCTCCGCCATCATTATTGGCACCACCTTCGTCGTTACCATCCCAACCACCAGCATCACCACCTTGTTCATTACCAAACTCGGGATCCATTCGTGCATCAAGCTCTGCTGAATATTGGGACAGGGATTCTAGGGTTTCGTCGTCGTATACCTCTTCATCCTCGTCGTTAACAATAACCGTTTCACCATGATAAATCACACCGTGTAGTCCTCAACAAATCCTCGCATCATCATCCACCGGCTCCAGCTTCTCTAACGCAGTCACTGTTATGCATTGTTCACATGAGCTCTTTTTCTCTCTTCCTCCTCTCAACACTAGGCTGGTAGGCATTTCCATGTACTATACAGTACTTTGATCGTTCTAAAGTTTACCACTCACTTCATTGATCGTTCAAAGAAGATACAGTAAAAGATAGAGAATATACAGGAACAAAAGGAGCAACAGAACAAATCTTAGTTTTTTTAGCAACCAATGTTCTCTAACTAATATTTCTGCTAACTCAGTTACACACTTAATTGAACATTGTTCATATATTCAAACTGAAAGTCTTCTACAATGCAGTTTGGCTCCTACAGTTAGTTTGCGGGATGCAATCCAGTCTGACAATTAAAAAAAATCAAGGAAGTAGTATAATTTTCTTTATTTCCTCCAGCCTGTTCGCTTGTTGGTTTCAGTCAGGGCTTATCAGCCATTGTACAGTGTTTTTCTCTCACAACAAACCAGCACCAGCCGGGCTTATCATCTCTTCACTATTGAACTCAGGTAAGCACTACAGAAGACACCACAAACTATTATCAGTTCATGGCCCTTTCTGCAGCAGAGTGATGGTTGCAATTCAGTCTCCAGCTACAATTGGAAAATACAATTTGCAAAATCAAGTTGGCTGGATCTACAGAGGCGCGGCTTCGCCGCGCCCCGGCTTTCTAGTCTAGAATCTAAATTTGATCAAAACAAACTGTTACGGCACTGAACCAGACGGCACCAAGAGATAAGCAGACACTGTAGGCGTCTAGGCGATACAGCAGCAGAGCAAGCAGCAAGCAGCAAGCAGCAAGCGCGCGCCAGGAGAAGTTGCACCGGTCCACTCATCAGGCTCTTCCGAGTGGGCGCCTGGCCGGCATGCTGAGCCCGAATATCAGTGACCAAGGCATGCTGCAAGTTGTGACAGGGAGTAGTAGTATTTAGGGCCCGTTTGGTAGGGCTCTTACCGGCTCCAGCTTATCTGACGCATTCACTGTTCACAAGAGCTCTTTTTCTCTCTCCTCTCTCCTCCTCTTGCAGTCTATCTTTTACTATGACCCCGTTTGGTAGACCTCCAACCGGCTCCAGCTTCTCTGACGCATTC